TTCCCCCGGACAAGCTGGAGGAGGTGGCTGGGGAGAGGGAGGTCTGGGCCTCTTTGCTTAGGCTGCTGCCCGGCCTCGGATAAAGTGGATGAAGATGGATGGTTTTTATGTTACCTAAGGAATTTGACACTTTAGCCTAGCTTAGCATAAAGACTGTAAATGTGGAATAAAACTATGCTGGCTCTTCCTAAATGGTTAGCAGTCCACTTCATTCCTGTAATGTTCATGTCTTAAATAAGACAGGAAACAGTCAGAAACTAAAAGTTGTTGGTTAGTGTGGGGAAGTGAGTATTTCTGCTAATGAATTGCTAAGCTAGCTCTTTATAGTCTTCAAATGAAGATTTGGTACTTGTTTTTGAGCTTTAGCATCATGTTAGCACACACATTAAAGCCTTAGTGCCATCTACTGAATGGCAGTGATGCCTTTGTTCCCAAACAAACAGCAAACCTCTTGCTTTTTTTGTCCCGGTCACACTAAGCATGTGTGGCTGTGCTGAGCGTTTTCCTCTCATAGCTGGACCAGGAGTTCTTTATTAGCAGTTTATACATCAGAAACTGTTCAATAAAAGACATTTTTGGAGAGTTTTCAGAGATATTGCAGACAAACATTGGTTGGGATTCTCGACCTGCATGGCGGGTGACGTGGGGGGTGGGCATTTCGGGCAAAAATACTTTACAGTATTCAATGATAACAATGATAACGGTTCTCCAAAGGTTCCCACCCCTGTAGCCCCACCTACTCTAAAACAACTGCACGTAATTGTGGCACACCTGTGACCTGCTAGCTTCCCGTGGCAGAGCTACAGGGTACAGGGATGTGATGACTAAGCACAGGTGAAAATGAAATGTATGTGCTTCTGTTCCAGGCTGCATGCTGTGTTTTGGCCAATCAGCCTTCTTTCGCTTCAACCACCCTGAGGAAGCCTTCAGGATGAAGAGTATGATGCCCCAAGGAGGAAGTATCTCTGCTGGGGACTACAGACTCTGTGCAGGTACTGTGCCGTTATTGTGGGGTTTCCACATACAGTGGGGCAAAAAAGTATTTAGTCAGCCACCGATTGTGCAAGTTCCCCCACTTAAAATGATGACAGAGGTCAGTAATTTGCACCAGAGGTA